TAGTCCCGTTCTATCAATAAGCTTTTATTAAAACAGAATAAAAAGTTCGGTGCCCCTGAACTCTTGTTCAGTTAACTTCCAACACACATCGCAACAAGCAGTGAACATTATCGAGCAGCGACTGTAAATGCGCAAACCTTATGATGCGTTAAGGAACAAACGCTTCGCCCAGCAGCGAGGTCCCACAGCCGTATTGTCGTATCGTGACTGCCAGTTATCACTTGAGGATCAACTGCTTGCGAAACAACAGATGCCACCGTATTTGTATGTCCACTTAAACAATGCACCTGTGCTTTGGTTCGCATATCCCAGACCTATAAAGTACAAAATTGTCTCAAATAATTTTCATTCCAGACGTCCTGTGATTTTCAAAACTTACACGAGCAGTTGCATCCCTCGCGCAAGTGATCAAAATATCAATTGTTGGATGTAGTGCGAGATCCTGGACAGCGCTTAGATGACCATGATAATGTCGAATCACCTTGTTGTACTCCAAATCCCAACATTTCACCTAAGAAAAAACTGACATTGATTCGAATGCTTAGCACCAAAGACAAAAAAAAAAAAAAAGGAAAACTTAAACGAGATGCAGTGAAATAAAAAAATTCAAATAAAATACGTTGTAAATATCTGTTCCAAAATCTTCTAGTTTTCATATCATTTTATCTCGAGATGCTTCTCCCGAAACATCCAACATCTTTGCTTCTCATGCAAACAAAAATTATTTCTTGGTGAAAAAGCATGATTTGTCTTCGACAGGGACAAATCAGCCACTGCAAAATCATTTCTACACAACGCCGAACTAAAAATGGTACAGTGGAAATTTAAAAAAAACACCATTTCATGGCTCAGCAATCGTCGCCCGACTTTGCAACCCTAAAAGTCAACCTGTTCTCGTTCTGTTGCGCATTACCAAACATAACAAGATCCCGCTGAGGTTGGCACGTACTGTGTTAGTACTGTAAAATCGAATAGGTAGCGCGGATTTCTGCGATTGCAGAGTCGAGTAATCAGGTGCAAGCCGTTGTGTCGTGGAACCGTTTTATATTGCGCTAGATTTTCGCTACTTTACGTAGTTTGAAAATGAACAGAAATCACTTTGGGATGATCTAGGGAAAGCAGAATATCATGTTTTTTGAATTTCTGTTTACATAGCAAAGGAAGGGAGTGCCTCAAAAATATGGATTGGCATTTTATGGTAAAAGCGCAAAAAAATACGATGAAAGTTCAAAGCAATAACAATCAAATTGCTATGTTTGGCAATTTCTGCAACAGTACGTTATTTATTTGAAAAAAAAAAAAAAAAATCGAAAGCCCATTCCTATTCCGAATGTTTTCATTTTTGATATGTTCACATGCAGCAAGTATAACGGTAAAAAGCAGTGCAGAGAAACAAGCGAGAGAAGAAAAAACGATTTAAAATTGCTAGACGCAAAGAAACACGCACTTTTTTTTGCACCAGTCACATGTGTGTCACAATATGAATGTAAAATGACTGTTGAAGCTAATGCATATGAAGAAGACGACTAACGTACCAGTTACATGTACTGCTATGAATGTGTGGAGCGTATCAGCATTTTGAGGAAATGTTGGCGGAAATGAGGAAAAATGAAAAAATGAAGAAAGCAGCATGAAAAATTTTGCACTGCAACTGAAACAGCTTTAGCAAAAGCCAAATTTTACGCTAATTACTTTTGAATAAGCGAAAAGCATTTTCGAACCTGCTTATCTTCACCGCCTGTAAACAAGAATGGATGCCTTTTCGATATTTTGCAGCATCTCACTGCACTTACATGGCCCGTTAATGACAATCGCAGTTTACCAGTCGCAAGATCCCATATCTAAAAATGCAGTTTGAAGAAAAAATTAAAAGAAAAATTAGCACAATCGAAAGAGTTGTTGCTCAGTGTTAGAATGGAATTTGTTTTCGTATTTTTGAAATGGACGTATTGTAAATACGCTTGCTTACTTGCTTATTTACCTGTACACTTTCTTACTCATTTACCTGCGCGCTTCACATAGTTACTAAGTTCATTGCCTAGCAATTCACCGTCTCTTTCAGCAAGTAAATTTAACACAAAATATTTAGCATAAGATTAAAGTTAAACAAACAAACTTGAATTATCAATTCAATACAGAGTTTGTCGAGCAAAACTCGATTAATTACTTAACCACTTAACTAACAGCCTCATTACTTACTTAGCGGGGCAGACTGGTGGAGGATGAGTTACTAGACAGAGAATCGAGTGATTTTAGGACTGTTTTCAAGACTGCCTTTTTTTCTTAAAATTTCAAGACTGTATAGCAAAGCGGTGTTCGAAACAATCATTCGGAACAAAACCAACCTTGACAATTCGATCGGCGCCGCCCGTTGCGAACCATTCGTTGCCTGGTTCAACATCCACACATCTTACCCAGCCTGTGTGCCCAGAGATCACCCTAAAGAACATCCGCATAATGTGGAAGCACAAAAATAAAGAAAAAATAAGAAAAAACCGAGAAAATACTGAAATTCATAGATCACTTTCCTATCTGTTAGAAAACCGAATTTTAAAATCAATTTGAATCCAATTATTAAACGACATTTTTTTTTCAGCTTTTGAGAGGAAAATTCAATTTTTGGAGTGCAGATTCTTTCTGCCTCAATCGTTAGAAAGTTTAAAAGTTCAATGCTTGGTTTAAGAAAAGTGAAAAGCAAATGCAAACAAAAAACGAAGGGCTGAAACGCACAATGCGGTACATTCATTCACCAGTCGATGTGCATATACACAGACAAACATAGGTGGATCCAGAGCGGTTTCCTGGGAGGAAATGGGGAAGGGGAAGGGGGGAGGGGAATTTTGCCAACTTCCCCTCCTCTCTCTCTTCTCTGTATCCGCCAATGTAGGCATAGTGCAGTGGGGAGCAACGCTGTTGCAATGCAAAGACTCGACTTTGGGATAATGAACTGGCAGAGTAAACTGGCACCGGCGTTTCAGTGGTAAATTGGCCAGTACACCCAGCATCAGCTTGCTTGTGAATAGTCCTACGTGGGGAACTCACCGACAACTCTACAAGCGGATAACTTCTACTGATAATGCTATCCTCAGAATAGCTTCTGCCTCACAAAGAAGCAGTGCGAGGAAGGTTTGTTTCCGACCGATATACACATATATATGTACATATATATACATATATATGTATACATATACATATATACACGAATACTATATATATATACATGCATACATATATATGTATATACATACATATATACATATATACATGTATATATATGTATATATATATATATATATATGTATATGCATATATGTATATTTACACGTATACATAGACAAACATA